TAGGGTATATAGTAGGTATATTAGTATATTAGGGTCCCAGGGTTAAGGGCCCATTACTAGGGGCCCATGGGTTCTACCCTAGGATCAGCTTTAAGGAGCAATGAAGAACCCTAACCCTCCAGGTACCTACTATATAGGGCCCCAGGGGCTCTAGGGTATATAGTAGGGTATATAGTAGGTATATTAGTATATTAGGGTGTCAGGGTTAAGGGCCCATTACTAGGGGCCCATGGGTTCTACCCTAGGATCAGCTTTAAGGAGCAATGAAGAACCCTAACCGTCCAGGTACCTACTATATAGGGCCCCAGGGGCTCTAGTACCCTTTTTTAGTAGGTACCTGAGGGATTAGGGAATCACAACAGTTGGAGTCTCAGGGCATGAGCAGAAATAGCTTTTGTTGTTATTTTGTTATTGTTATTATGATTATGATTATTATTATCATTTTATTTTTATCTATTTTATGTTTTTTTTTGGAAGGGGGGGGTGGTGTTATACTATAGTCTATAGTTATAGTAAGGAACCCCCTGGGGGGTGTATTATACTATATTATACTATAGTTATAGCCAGGCCCCCCCTTTGGGTGGCTGAACCTTATGGGTAGTTGTCTAAACTGGATCGGTTTTAGGTCCCCCAAATAGTATGGCACCCTAAAATGGATCCTAATTTAGACAATTACCCTTATGTTGATTTGGGCTCGGTTGGAAAACACAGCAGTACCTTCCGGTATGGGCATGTTTCGACACGATTCCGATTTTTTGTCGGAAGTGGTGAGGCTTCCGAGCTAACTCTGGCCTTTTGCACCTTGAGCTCTGAGGTCCTGCAGGTTATGTGTTGAGGTTCCCTATATGCCTTTCAATGCGACCCGAACAAAACAACGTTCAAGGACGCTCTCTGCGGCCACCGGGTGCTTCGTTTGTTAAGTTGAAGTGTGGTAGAAAGAGCATGATACATCTTCTCGAGGTTGTGAGATAGACGTAGTCCTTGAATCTGGTTTTTAGCAGAATACCCCACGGAAATGCTGACCGGATGCCGGCGCCAGGTTCCCCTTCCCTGAATCCTCCGTTGTCCAAGACTGTTGTCCAAGACGCTTCTTGTCACGTCGGTCACCATATGCGCGCCCATACCGATGGAGCCTTGAGCTGTCTGCAAGACCCGGTGGGGTCTTGAAGCTTCTCTGTTTGCAAAAATCCCAAGTGCTGACCTAGCTGCACTGAACCTTCAAAGGCCTTGTATGCCAAAAGTACCGAAACCAGATGCTCCCCACAGATAACCTTCATCCAGCCTCAACATCGTGAACAGATCACCGGAGAAAGCTGCGGGATGATTGCTATGCCGTGCTAGACAGCTCGTGCCGAGCGTCTACAGCCAAAGGAATGATAACAATCTAAGAACAACTGAAGGCGAACCACAGCATTATGACATGGTCTCGCTTCTCGTCCAAACCCCGAAACCCCAAACTTTCTGCAAGAACAAACTGCGACTGCGTCTTGAGGGGGGAATTCCAATGCAGACAGAGAAGCGACCACTCCAAGAAAGGGAGCGTCTCCACATGCCTCATGCTCGGGAACTCTGGAGCTTTCAGCTTGTGATGTGTTCGATCCGACGGCTCTTTGTACATGATGTGCGACGTGAAGCACCCGCAGGTCGTGCTTAAAGACGACATCTGTCATCTGTGCCGTTCTGCAGATCTGCCCGGCACATACCTACAAACATGGCCCTGTGTGAGAAGCAAGTTGCGCGGCTGTTCTGCGGTCTGAGAGGCTGAAACTCGTTTTGCTCTGCCGATCCTTGGTAGAAAAAAGCCAACGCTGCAACACAAAGGCCAGGCCGCCCACCCCAAGGCCAAAGGCATCGAACTGCCACTGGCTGCTCTACTCTACAGAATGTACTTGTGACATATCGAAATTCGCTCCGCGGGCATGGGGCCAACAAAACAACAAGAATTCTGCTTGTGTTCGGGTTGTGGCGGGTGGTGGCTTTGGGCTTCAACGGGGTTGAGGTCACAGAGCTGAAGGGGCTGCAGGGTTGAAGCGGCCCGATCCCCTCCCAGTCGAAGATGAGCTTCCGAGAATGTACGAGTAGCGCACGCCCACAGCTCCCATGTTCGATGCGATCTTGACAAGACCGCCAGGCTTCACGAAGTAGCGCAGATTGCGAAAGAACCTGTGGTAGCCGTTCAGTCACAACGAGAACACGAATGACTCAAACAAGGAACTATCAGTGGTGCGTCTTTCTCGACACAAGGACTGCGACAGGGTCAAAGTAGTGAGATGTTCAAGGGGCAGTGTACCTAGACAGCCTTGAGGGTGACACGTTTGGCACAAACCGTACATGTGCTGTCATGGGAAAGGTTTCCGAGCACTGGCTACATGAAGCAATGGACAAGATTGAAAGACAAGACCCACTTTTGCCACCTACCCCCTAAACCCTAAACTTCTTGCAGGATTACGCATCTGCGTCAGGAAGACCTGCGCAACTTGAGAGCCGCACGACTCTGGAATTGCTAGGATGCTTTACATACTCGGGCAGATCTGTCAAATGCTCTGCGAGCCGCGATCGTTGGTCCCAAAAACCGCAAGACATCGCTTTCTGTGCCCCTAGTTTTGGGAGTCCCCAGCCGGCAGAAATCTAAACCCCACTGAACCAAGCTGCAGTCGCATCAGATTCTCGTGACGCCAATTCACAATGGGATGGCTATCCTGAGTGCTGGGTGTGGCGCTATGTTGAATCAGGGTGTGGTCGGTCTACACAGCAAACGAAGACCTACTGCAACATCATGAATGAATCAACCCTAAACCCTAAACCCCTAAACCCTAAACCCTTAAACCGAATCATCAACACCTAGGTTGCGTCGCTGTCGACTCGTCGCTTCTTCAGACCCTTGTGCCAAGAAGTGCTGGCCCTCGAGCCATGCCAGGCTTAGCCAAGGTCCTGTCCTAGACTAAGATGCTCCCTCTGGGAAACCCATGCCCTATTTACCTTGCACGCACTCTTTCAAGTCAGATGTAGTTGGTTGGCTAGACACCACAGTAATCAGACCGACACTCGAACATGCATCCGCGTGTCGTAGAAGCCCGTGACATGCCCTTGCCCTGGCTGGAGGTCAACCTGGCATTTGTAGAAGCTTCGAAGATCCGACACCCTCCTACATTGTTACATCGCATCACGATGTCGAGTTCTAAGAATTTCTGGGATGGGGCGGAGGTGCGGATCCTGAACACGGTAGGGACGACACCAACAGGGATGGGACAACACTGCCACTTCGTCCGGAGATGCTGACAGTGTCAATTTTGGCAGGATCCGCTAGCGACTAGGGCCTATTCCGAAGGGCATTCATTGCTGAAGCCCCCAGCCCAACCGACCCGACCCGGAATACTGCTGTTGATCTTGAGCTTTTTCCGGTCCAATTGCACTGTTGCAGTACCAACTGCAACCCTATGCTTAGTGACCAATACCACTGGTTCCTATCTGGACTATCACTAGTACTATGCATGGTACTGGTCCTCTTAGTAAAACTAACACAAGCCTGGCTGTCCCCTAAACGTTTCCGTTAAGTTCAAGGCCGATCTCCGCCGCTCGCTCATTTCATACATCAAGAGGGCTTGTTATGACAATGATTAGGGGAGAAGATCAATCTAGAAGCAGCGCTCATCCAGTTCGAAACAGATCCCGCAAGAAATGATTGACAAACTGCTGCCCTCGCCGTCTCATGGATGCGTTGATTTTGCTGGTGTTGAACGTGTTCTGCGCTTGTTCGCTGGACACACAAAAACGGATGCCACGAACACCTGCACCAACCAAACACGCTGTGGGCTGTAGAAACCACGACTCCATGAGGTGATGCACATAGCTTTCTGTGCAAGTTGGTTGAGAGCTCGAGCCTACCACTCGGCCCTGACTCAGGACCGAGGATTGGACCCACGCGGCCCCGGCATGCGGGAAATTGTAGTAGACTGCACCTCACGGTGTCTGCCACGGTTCTTGGGGCCATATTTGGGCTCAGCGACGAGGATACTCTGCGCTCACGGCTAACAACCCGACACTCAGAGTCTTCTGCAAGTGGTTTTCAGCAATGCATGCAGTACGGCTACAAGAATCAGGGCCACACCTATGGATCCGTCCATGTTTTTGAAGCGCGGGTCCAGGGCGATGCGGGTGCAGTCGACCTCCCCAAAAGAGCCAGGGAGAGAACATAAGCTGATCCCCTCTCATGCTCGGCCTTTGTTGAGCCTTATTTGGCTGCAAAGTGATGAAGGTGAGTTCTGACCATACCAACTTCACAAGAGAGGATCGGCTGAATTCATAGAGGGCTCTCTACTTGGAGCTTATCTGGCTATGCGGCGAGCTTCAATTTTCTGGAAGAGGAGAACCAACTCAAGCAAGGTCGACCCAGAAGATGTGCTAACAAAGATGAACAGTACTTGCGGCCAAGAGTTTGCGAATCTGATGGATGTTTTGCCAAGTGGGAAAGCAACACATTCTTTCTGCTGCAAGCTTCATGCGATAAAATACTTCAACACGAGCACCGTTTCAACCTTGAGTTGCTGTGCATGGTCGTGCGATAATGCTCCTCCTGACTCATGGTTTCAAATCATCATTGAAAGCTCAGTGTGTCACAAAAAACTCAGACAGGCTTGGTCCGTCCTGAGACCAAACAAAGCCAGGGGAGTCCCGGGCCACAAAAAACGCAAATTGAATCGCCTGGACAATCGCCATTCATGCAATCACTCCAGAGTTGTAGACTGGGGAAACAGTTGTTGGTCAGCCTTTCGCAATATGAAGGGGAAAGAAGGCAGGCAGCGTTAGAAAGACGTTTCCCACGGGGAACAAAAGCATCCAAAGCTACAAAAGCTGGAGAGATTGGATCGAATACAGCCACGTACCATCCGCATCTCGAAGCCCAACATCTCGGGAGCTTCCGAAACAAAATTCGGCAGAGTATGTTTCTCATAGAAGATTCAGTTTCGACACACTAATTTATGACTCTACTACAGTGGCTCTAGCCCCAGCTCACAAGCCAACTCCTTCTAAATGCTCTCGCTGGATATGCATGCATCTTGATGTAAAGCCTCAGCTCAGCCATTGATTGTTTTGAAAACGACAGCATCATCAGACGGAAAACGCTCGATGGCTTCGAACGCTAGGATTCCCGCTGCCAGCCCAACCTCGTGATACACGTCAGCGAGGTGATCGTCCAGCAGCCTTATGGTGTCGTCAATCCTTGGAGAACTGAGGGTTGCATGCAGTCAATGCCGTCATAGGGTCATATGCACAGCCGGTGATGCAATCATGTGAGCTGCCCTTGCAAAGGCGCACATCAGCATTGTGCCAACACGCCAATGCCACACATGAGTTCTGAGCAACGGTTTTGGTAGCCGTGCATGTGCGCAGGCATGGGCCAGTCAGCCATGTCTGCACATCTGGCTGCTGTCCTAAACTGAACCACATGATGCCCAGGTGAGAACAGCTCGGCTCGCAAGCAGAATCCCAACCAGGCACTTCTGGCCTGGCGCTCGGCCGAAATATACACACGAGTCTGCCGGGCCAACCACCAGGCGACCCGCGCGCGAATCGGCCCATGAGCTTTTGATTGCGGTGTAGGGTGCAGCTGCGAGGCAGGGTGCTATCCGTCACCGGCCATGGCAGCCTATGCCGGAGAGGGTTAACGTCAGTCTGCCTTGGTGGCAACTAGGTAGGCAACATAAACCCAAATCATAGTTAGTCATGATCGCTACAATGTGGTGAGCCAGTGCTGAAACCTCATCGCATCATTGCTCAAACGTAACAAAATCTCCGCTACATGCGCCTTTTGCGACGACTGCAGCTCTCAAACAATCACTTTCGGTGATAATTCTCTGATGATTTTCATGGCCGTCTCTTCACCCGTCTGGATGGCGCCATTCCTCGGACCCATGCATTCCGAACAACAAGGCCCGAAACGCAAATCCCCTGCTGAAATCCAGCATCAACTTATCGAGAACATTGAACCATGTATCGAATAACTGAGGACATGATTCATGCACTTGTCGGCGGCTACGTCACGAGTGCCGTCTTGCATGCTGGAGTTAGTTCATCCTTTTGGTCTTAAACCCTTGCCGTGCTACCGCCGGGCGCAAGCGGTTTCGACTTTGCTGGCTACAACAACCTTCACGTACAAAAGGCAAATGCCATCGTGAAAACTATGGTGGGCCCTGCAATGCTGCCTTTGGACAGCTTTGGACACTTCTGTCCATGTTAGACTAGATGTGCCATCATCCATGATTCGCCGTCTTTTTCGATAGTAGTAATGTTGTCTTGACTCTTAGGCTTTCCGGCTGATTCCGGCTGAGCTGCAAGTCAGCAGTCTTCGATTCATGGCTTGCCCGGTGACCCCCAACGGCACTGATGCAAACCCGCAGTGGGCTGATCAAGTGAGGCATGCTTGCTGTTGCATCTTGCTTGCTTGTTGCAACAAGTCGTGTGTCGTAGATTTACAACTTGGACGTCGTCACATATATCTGACCAAGTAGACAGTGCTTGCCATGGTACTTGTGGGTAGTGCCTGGGATGCCAGGCTGCCCGTGCTGTCTTCTGTTTTGCAGGCATCCCAGGAGCTGAGCTCTTACTCCAACGGTCTCTAAGTCTGCAAGGGCTCATGTAACCGAGGCTGGGCAAGCTGTAGTCGCCGCCAGAAATCCAGAGGCCAGGCGGCCCCAACTGCCTCAAGGGGGGGGTCCTTGACGAAGGGTTGGGAGAGGTGTTTGTGCCAAACGGCTGAGCTGCCGCCCCCGACCCCTTGAGTGGCTGCTTGTTCTGCTTCGTGTCCGAGCTTCGGGCGTTTTGTCAGGATTTTAACCTGGAGCTGCGGTTTTCGCTCGGTTTTGCGGATGGGTTTGCTGTTTCTGGTGCCCTATAACTTATTTTCTTCCGTTTTTCTGACGAAAAACTGCATCCTTGGCCCAACCATAATGACGTCCATGGTCCAATCGGTTCTGAGAAGCGCGCATCCAGGGCCGAACCATGGTGACGCCCATGGTCGAATCCGTTCTGAAACGGTCCGTGGCCCAACCAATGATGACGTTCATGCTCTAATCCGTTCTGAGAAGAGATCATGAAGATAGCACCCATGGTCCAAGAGCATCTATGGCCCAACCATGATGACGCCCATGATCCAAGATGCCAAGGAAATGAGTGTTACAGGTGCCCGCAACAGCTCAAACAAATTAAGAAAGATCTTCGCGCCACCAACTGCAATATTGAGTATGCCGCCCACGTTGTATACGTCCGAGCTCCGATCCAACTCAGCAGCCCTGCTGTATCGGGAGCCTTTGGAAGAATCTTGAGCCCTGCGCGGGATTGGGGGTTCAGGCCAAATAAAGCACAAAGCCCCGTCGCTTGTTTTCACAACTTGGTCTGTGCTGCTGCGATCTTGGTTTCGATCGAACTGCCGCCTCGACTCTGTCTGATAGATCTCCATGACCATTTTGAATAACGATTCGAAGCGCACTACTTAGTATTCCAGGACTTGGACAGTTTCCCCCGACGAGTCGATTACCGTTTTCCGGTCCCTGGATTCGAAGGAACAATACGTACAGTTGCTGCTGCAATGAAAAGAAAGCATCCATGTCCGCCGAGAGCTTCCATGATGCTGTTGCAGATTCTGATTCCTTCATGTTCGACTTTGTCTTCTAAGTCTTGCGGTACTTGGATGCTGCTGGCATGATGCTTCAATAACTACTGCACCGTCGATGGACTCAAGCTTGCAGAACCTTGACCAATCTGAAGATGACGACGACAACAACAACAACAACAACAACAACAACAACAACAACAACAACAACTACAACTACAACTACAACTACAACTACAACTACAACTACAACAACTACTACTCCTGCTACTGCTACTGCTACTACTACTACTACTACTACTACTACTACTACAACGACACAAGCTGTGCATCGTCGAATGGTAATGCTACACTGTGCTGACTGTACAAAACTACAAAACATGCAAGAACTTTGCCTGCTTGCTCCTAGTCTTGATCCTGTTCTCTTGTTGTTCTGTGTAACCTCCGCTGCCTGCAACGTCTTTGGCTGACCAACTCATTCAAGCATACCCTAGAGCTGCACCCTGGTGAGCAACGTAGCGGAATGCTTGTTTGCAAGCATGCTCCAGAGACAAACCCTAAAGACCAAAGTCCGGTTAAAAAACAAAAAACACTTCGTGGGATTCCGGAAGTGTCAAAACAAGAGGCTAACCAAGGGGGCTTTTTGATCAGTGACGTGTTGGCAGATTGCAGGAAGGAACATAAGGCCACTGCCCAAGAAAAAAAGACAAGCCCTCCCACGAGCCTCTGCTCGTAGATGCGCTGTGCCGCAGGCCAAAAGCTGGACAGGACACCCGGAGGGAAGAAAATGTTGTAGCCGCCCCGCGCGTACCTGAAACAGCGAGCATGGGTGAAGCAGCTCCATGCCCGCAAGGTGTGCGACCGGCAGCTGATGCTGTCACTTATCTACCAAAGCCTGAGCAAAGGAAAGTGTTTGGAGTAATTAGGCTTCTCATGCTTTGACAAGATGAACCCTTGTATTGGTATTGTAGGATCACCATGTTGACAGGCATCATTTGGTGAAAGTCAGGGTAACCTGCTTCTAGATGTCCCCGGGTATGGCCTGAGCCTTTGCAGAAACCGCATCGACAGCCAGCCACACCACTCTTCTAATTTACCTAAGACCCTAGCCGCTGGCCCCAATGAAATATGAAATCCGTGGGGCTCATCGTCGGCCCAGTTCTTCGACAGCACCTCAACCATTTTCTCCTCGGTCGGTCCTCTCGAAGCACACAACACACTGTTCCGACCGATCGCTCGGAAACTTTCTTCCTTGCCTGCTCTGCGTCGTTTACCAGAAAACTGGTGCAAAGCAACCATGCACTCAGGAAGGTATCCTGCAAAACTTGGTCCTGATTGGACAACGACCGAATTGCTACATACCGCACCCAAGCCGAAACATGGAGAAAGCATCACTGCCCAAGATAGTGCATCCCATCTCCTAGTGCTTCTGCCAAGATGTTCTGCATCACTGCCTTCTGCTCCGAATCCGTGAGGCGGAGGAAAGCCTTTCTTCTAGGAAAGCTCGCAGGATGATTGGTGCAGGAAGCCATTCGATTAGAATAATATTATCCTATTATTACCAAAAGGAACCCCCAAAACCAAACAACAAGGGAACTTGTCGACATGTGCATCGCGCCGACAACACATGTCTGGCGCAATGCAACCTGCGAATGCAGGCAGAAGTCCTTAGACTCAATTCGTGTCTGGCTCCAATTTCCGAACGACGGCAAACCTACGCCTTAATTTCGACTCTTCGAATCGGATACTCCAGGATCTGAATCGAGCAACCCTCCAAGCAAGTGACAACAACACGTGGCGAGAGCGCTCACGGTGCATTGAGGCTTTTGGGTTCGGGGTTGCCGGCTTGGGGTGAACGAGCTAGCCTCTTGGGAAGTCAAAGCCTTGAAGCTTGCATGCCTACCGGCTCGTATCAACAAAACCTAGCAAGCTCTGTATGGCACAAATGATACAAATAATCCCAAACAGCATGACCAAGGTAACGCCATGCACCCCGTCAAGAAATCTACTCTTTCTGCCCCCTTAGCAACTTCATCCAGTGCTCAAAAATACTTCCCGCATACTTGCCCCTCAACTACCCCTGCCCCAAAGCTTGAATCGCAAACAAGCAGCCCATGAAGAAAAGTACACAAACACGAAACACATGAAGCGAGAACGCGAGAGAGCGAGGGTGCGAAACACATAGCTACCACTTCTCTCCGCATGACGGCATCTCGTGTGCTGGCAGCTGCTCACTTATCAACCAAGTGGCTCGATTCTGGGCACCCTCGGTGAAGCAAGTGAGGACCTGTGGGTGCCCGGAAGGGTGCCGGAATGGATCTGTCATAGGACTTCGTCTTCAAAGTAATTTGCAATCTCCGCATCTGGGTCTAGGCCCATGAAGCTGAACTGAAGGCCGTCTAGTAAGGCCGTCTGGGGCAGGCTTACATCCTAGCAGTATAGGGTCAAGCTTCAGGCAGGACTCGGACCGTGCCGAGCTCAAAGCCCTTGCAGGCCGCTCCATGTCTCCAAGGCTGTGTAGGGTTTAGAGTTTAGGGTTTAGGGGTTTAGGGGTTCAGGGTTTAGGGTTGCCAACAAAAATTACGAGCGCCAAGGCAACGAATTCCCCCAAGCACAGCACAACTCTCCAATGATTTTGCCCAACAGTTCGAGTGAAACATGGAACAAGTCTTAGGTCGCTGCACCGCGGCTCCAAGAATATGGAGAGTTGTCGAAGCCTCAGGAATGTGCACGAACAGCACAAATTCCAAACTCACTGACGGCTTAAGCTGAGGGGCAATTGTGCACATAGTTGCTGGGCACGGACGTGTTGAGAAATATCATCTTCCCAAGGTATCCTGAGCTGTAGCAGTGTGTGAGTGCCACAAATACTTGCCCTCATAAATGAACAGAAACAGTGGCAGTACACATCCTGATCTTGCGAGGCCTACTCATTGCCCAATCCAGGCTCCACGCTCTCGCCACCAAGGCTTCTCATAGACCATGGAGTATTTCATAGTCGTCCCCACTGGCATGCGCCTCGCCGTGTCGCTTGCAACCGCAGCTTCTGAAAGCCCGACTACATCGATTTGTGACATGATGTCGCAGGCTGTCACCGAACTTCCTGTCATCCGAGCTTCTCCAACAGCTGATCCATTGCGCCATCTAAAGGCGGCTGGAAGTCGATGGCAGTAATCAGACTTGGAGTAAGTCCGGCCACAATCACGTGCTTCGCGACCACCTTCGAATGCGCGAGCCGACGCCTAACTGCCTGATTCAAAGAGCCTAAGGGTTGCTGCCTTTCACACAGTACACATGACATGAGCGCAGATTTTCAACGGAAACATCACGTAAAGAGTCTGAGCCCTTTGTGTCTGCAACCTCAGAAGAAGAGATTTCCAAGCACCCTGGAGTGTGCGTCGGCGACTGCGACTCATCAAATCATAAATGCATGAAAGATCTTTGTTGCTTCTGCTCCTTCGAAGCTCAAACTGTTTGCCGCCCGCAACTTCACTCACTGTTCAGCCCGTTTGGGTCTAGGGCGGAGTCGCTGCTCAACCCAGGTAGTGTATTCAGACCAAACCTTCGTAGCCCGACAAGTCCTGAACTACAAGTCAAGTCGTAAATCGCAATTCTTTGTGTCAGCCCGAGCCACCACGCCCTTGGAGCTGTGAACTTCGTACAGCGAGTTCGCACGTCGGTGTATGGCGGTGACATGTGCGCCCAGCTGCAGATCCCCTCCTGGGAGGCCATGTCATGCAAAGAAGTACTGCGTGCAAAGCAATAGAAGTTCGATCATTCTCACAGGTGGTCTTTGACCTTCCCAACTCTTTTGAAACCCTAATCTCGTATGCTGGTAGAATCAATTTGGTCAGCCTTGTGCATTAGGGCAGAACCGCACACCCGGCATCTTTCCGAACAGTCCCCTCAGGCAACCCCGAAGTCAACATCCAGCACATCGACACATACTTCATGGGAACTTTCGAAGCGTGGGCTTGAAGCCACTGAGCCCACAAACGCCAAACTCCCCCAACAAAAAGCGGAACTACGTCACACTGACTCCGAAGTATGGGGCTGCCGGCGAGGATCCCAGCTGTGCCGCCATGCGCATCGCCGGGGCTTGGGAGCCCCCCCGGACACGCCAAAAGTCTTCCTTCCGGAGATGTAAGAAACCAGGACCCTTAAATAGGGGTATTTGGCCCCAAACAGTAGGTATCTACGGTCTAATAGAGGGTAGAGGGCGGGTCTAGGAATCTGCACGTGTGGCAGGGCATGGGATGGATTCGTGCGTTTATTCACACTTTCTGTGTTCTTGGGGCGTGAGTGGTTTCACTGCAATTGCTCGGAGAATCGAACCATGCGAATCTTAGACTCAAGCTCGCAAGATGCACTCGTTAGCACTGAGCCCAAACTGACTTTGCAAAGGCTGTGCACACAGCGTTATGAAGCCTACGCATAAGCCTCGCCCCCAGTCAGAGTCCCACACCCAGGAACGTGTGCTGCTCATGCGTCCTCTCCGGATCCCTCCACCCCATCGGAGCAGTTCAGCTGCCACAAAACAACTTAGGTTCGGCACGAGCGACTGTATCCATGAGTTGAGGTGGGGTGCTGGAAGCTGCCGGTCTCTTCTGGAGCGTTAAGACCAAGTAAAATCGCTACAGAAAACAAGGGCCTCGATGCATTCAAGGAGCACAGGGCTGAGATTTGATTCAAGGCCTCTGCATCGTCGGCATAGGCATAGAGGGTGTTGTAGGCCATGGGATAATGCTGCAAGCCCAGGACCATCTTCAGGAAGGCATCGTAGGAAAGGGAGTCCCAAAGCGAGGCATTCGGATTGGAAAACGGGGCGTGGCAGGGGGTGTTCTGCACCTGCGCAACGCGTTGCAAGGACACGCAGCCCGGCGCAGAAGACCCAAGAAAATGCAACTGACAGTGACTGCATGTGAATCGTTCTTGCTAGGATCTGCCTGGAACACAGTATGTCAAAAAAGGGCTGGCCTCCTTGGACATTTCATCTTGTGCTTTTTGCAAAGCTTGCCGCTCCTGTGCGCAGCAGCAGGGAGGCTTCGGCTCGGGATTCGGCTCCCTTTCGCTACGGCCTTCAGGGCTTGAAGCCTGCTAGTACCAGCACCTGAACTACCCCTAGGCCCCATAGTAGTTCCTTTTGGGGATTACCTTATAGGGTTCTATATATGAACCCCCAAAACGAACTACTTTAGGGCCTATAGGTATTGAAGACATAGGGTGCTGCGACTGCCTAGATCGAAACCAGAGCAAGACTTGGGTTTGAGACCATCCTGCACAGAGACGGCAACAAGCCATAAGAGGGCCAAAACACATGGTTTAGGGTTTAGGGTTTAGGGTTTAGGGTTTAGGGTTTAGGGGTCACATGAGGGGAGTGACACGCATTCATACTTAGTGCCACACCTGATAGCTTTCATCTTCAAGCAACACACGAAGCTCAATCCACCCAAGCACTCTGGCCCCGAACCTGCTATGTACAAAGGCCTCTTGTGGGAAAAGCTGAACCGCGGCATCAGGAGATGAGACGCTGTGCCAGCCATCTTCGGAGCGGACCTGGGAACATGGGACTCTTAGGGCGCCCTGCTTCTTTGACTCAAGAGAATCGTAGAAATATCTTCCTGACAACAAACACGAAAATCAGATAATCGGACCTCAGAACGCGCTGATGATATTCTATACTCACGTCCAGTAGCTCGCACGGCACAGGCACCGAGGCAGGGAGGAGCTGTCGCATTGCTGACGCCGCCGAGTGTATTGAAAGGCCGATGGAAGAACTCGAAGCCCAACTCCTTGAAGAGCCCTCGGCGTCTGTATTTTCAGCACTCACAACTGGGACAAGCCTGGCGAGGTTGTATTTTAGGGTTTAGGGTTTATAGGGTTTAGGGTAAACTTGTACTATGTACGGGGCTTCGGGGAGTACGGAGCGCTCAAATGACGTCGGTCCTGACTGTCCGATGTTGGGACGAGTGAGGTTACTACCCGGCACGCAATACGACGCTCTCGAATCAGGGAAGTAAGTAGACGGTGGGCTTCGCTACAAACTAGGGGCCTGTAGCCCTACAGGGTCCAGCAGCCCAAACCCTACTTTCAAATTAGGCTCGCAAGGCTTCATGATGACCCGTGGCCAGCCACTCGCCGCCCATTTCCACCACCTTGGGTTACGCAAGGAAATCATTGTGTCAGAGCCGAATATGTCGGAATTGAGACTAACGTAGGGGCCTTAATAATTAGAATAGGGTTTTGGGCTCCTGTATAGTATACATAACATACTAATTAGAATAAGGAACCTAAGGAATAATAATTGGCAATTATCTAGGCTTCTATAGCAGGTAGTTCTATGTCGTCTACGGATTCCTGAAGGGAAACTCTTGCACCAAGCGTTCACACAGGAACGGCGCAGGACTGACACTTTGCCGCGAACTTGCCATTGCTCCGTAGAACAGCAGCTAGGAGGTGGCCTTGCCACTAGACCAACCCTAACCCTCCAGGTACCCTACTATATAGGGTACTAGAGCCCCTAGGGCCCTATATTGGCCCTATATAGTAGGTACCTGGAGCGTTAGGGCACACTAATCAGCTTCAATACGTATGAAAGCTGGAGGTCACTACAGTCACGCAAAAGACCAAGTGCCTACGGGCTCTCTCTTTCCGCAGCAAAGGTTTGGCTGAAGATCTTGCGGTACAGAAAACAGGAGGTTGCATGCATCGATGCACATGACAGCTTTCCACATACCCTTTTATTATTTTGTTGCTTTAGACATACAGTCGAGAGGAAAGCCTACATGTGCGTCGGCATGGAACTGAAGAACGTCACCAGGATGGGTACCCTATCTACTAAGAGTCCATGCTGGTTGGCCAACGTCGTATACTCTGTACAGTTCTCAAGACGTCGCCATTGACACTGGCCCGACTGCAAAGTGAAGCGGCCGTAAGTGGTCCTTAAAGGAAACTTCGCCGTAGAAAACCGGGGTTCCGGTGTTCGGTAACTCCGGGCATCGTAGGCCACGTTAACACCCATGCCTTCGATCTGGTGCCATCCGCGGAGCTCACCTAGGCGGAGGAGGTGTCCCATCACGGGATCGTCTCCAGAAAGAGCTTCTCCAGGCAGCTGGTGGGTAGTAGACGCAGAAGGAGTCGGCTTGGTACGGCCCTTGGAGACCTGTTTCACAAACTCTGGGCTGTACTCCACAGACCAGTGGCCTTGACCAAGGATCTTCCTCAAGTGAGTCAGGTCCATCTCCTTCGTGCCAGAGTCCACCCACATGTTCTCAGTCGACGTCCAACGGAGGACCGTGTTTGGTCGCCTCAGCACCGAACGAAGCCAGGCCACCGTGAAGGCTAAGGACTTCTGACTACCAAACGAAGACGTGTCGGAGTTGGCTTTGTCGTGAACGTCCTTGGCGTCGACCACGACAGACAGGCCCACGCTGTTCAGACTGCGGTCCACGTCCTGCCGCTGAAGCGAGAGTCCGCGGAGAGAGGCAAGGAAGCCTCGGCAAAGCTGACCAACGTCGAAAGCCTCTTCCGCACCAAGCGTCTCTGCCGCGTAAGAAGAGCGACAGACTCTGGGTATGCGATGACTGCGCATGTCAAGAACATTGAACGAGCCAGGGCGGCCATTCATCAGCTCTTTGTCCGCCAGCAGCACGTAGTAGCAGGACTGGCTGAAGACCTTCTCCAACGGCGCAGCTGCGGCAGACCCAGAAGACGTGACATTGCCGAGGGAGGAGTCGGTGACAACCATGAGACCTCCAGCCATGGGGTCCACGGGTCTGAAGACGAGCTCGAAGTTCTTAGTCGCCTTCAGCTCCTTGCAAACCTGGTTGGCACGAAGTAGTGTACCTACTGTCGGCTTCTCACCTTGCAACGAAGACACCTGAAAGGCTAAGTCAAAGCGAACTTGGGCCACCAACCACTGGTACGAGCCAAGTAGTGCTCGCAGCTGGCGGTGCTCTCCAGGAGTGAGGGCTGCGTCAACTTCGGCTCGGCGGGGTTTGGGCACGTAGATCTCCTTGAGGTTGTCGTGGTATTCCACCATGCTCAGGGTGATGGTGCCGTCCTTCCGGCGGTGAAAGCGCTTGCCACACCACAGAAAACTGTTCCGTTGCACATCCCTGAACCCGAGCATGTCGCCGACCTTCATCAGGAGCTTCTCGGCCAAAGAGTCGCCTCCGAAGAGCAGGTCATCGACGTGCGACACGATGATGCCGCGCAGCTTCTTGGGATCAGCAGAGTCCCAAAGAAACCAGCAGGCTTGGTCGATCGACGACCGAACCCAGCCGAGGCCCTCTAAGCTTTTGGCTAGCTTTAGCCACCACTGCCGAGGCGCGTCAGCTAGTCCGAAGACGCCTTTTAACACCTTGGCGAGGCAGCCCATCGGCAGAGGAATCGGCGGCGAGGTCTTCGGGTTGGTGTGCGAAATGAACAGCTCGCGGGCGACGAAGGGGTCACCCTTCAGAAAGGCGCTCTTGACGTCACACGACAAAAGGCTCCAAGCGTTGCCCATCCAGGCCGTCATGCAAAGGAGCAAGTGCTGACTCAATCTCGACCCGGTCGGGGCGTCTCTCCTGATTTGTCCCTCAAGATTAGCCCGATCTTTGAAGCCTGGGACGACTAGACGTGCAGACGGTTCCGGAGGTAGTGGGCAGTCGTCGGTCCTCACGCCATCGGCCTTGTCGGTGCACACAAAGCGGGGCGTCAAGATGCGGTCCAACTCGCCTTGCTTCGCCAACCTCTTCCTCACGGCCATGCTCTCCTCTAAGGAAAGAACCTTCACGGCCTCGTTGTCAACGTAGGCTGCCCAGCCCTTCTCAGCTGCCTTGCCCCACAGTCGCCTCTCAGCAGAACTCATCTTGGACCATTGGTACTCCTTGCGGGCCAGGGCGGCATTGACATCGTTCAGGTCGCCAGGTACGCCCGTTGGCAAAGGAGCTCCCATAGCTTGTAACGTCTCCAGCTGAGAACGCGAGGGAAGCGACCAGCGGCCATCCCACGTCCCATGGTCACCCTCAGTGCCAAGGCATTCCAAAGGCCTCTGCCTGTCCAACTCTGCTTGCGCCTGAACTTGTAGTAGAGGATGTA